CCCCCCCCCCCCCCCCCCCTCCATTTTTTGCAAAGTTTCCGCCACTGGGTTGAGCCGAAATGTCCTACTTTGTTATTTTACTCTGTCTACTGTTATGCCAGTTTACACATCACAGAGAAGTGTAGGAGAAGCATTAATGAGTTAAGCAGATTTATATGCATATTCTCTTGTAAACTGATTTAGCTTGCATGTACTCTACTTTGTTATTTTACTTTGTCTAATACAAGGCAATTTTACTAAATGGGGAGCATTGGGTGTCAATGGGTTAACCAGACTTCCTGCTCATAGTCTCTGGTGAAACCATTTAGCCAAAATGCACCCTACTTTGATATTTTACTCTTAGACTATCTAGCTAATGCCAGAATAGTTAACATTATAAGGAGAATTGTTGGGAACTGTTATATTGTTTTAATTAAACTAGATTAATTATCTAGACCCAATGCCTAAAATAAGGAGACAACTAATTGGATAGAGTTTCCCGACAAATGAAGCAGACTCTTTTTTCTTACAACAATAACACTTTTAAATGGAGGGGAACAAGATAGTTTTAAATATTACATAATGTATTATAATTAGTTGTAATTAGAAAATATTACTTGACAAAACAAAACAAGCAGATTACTGTAGGTTGAAAATAATGTTAATAATATAGCAAGCCAAATATAGCAATATTACAATAATATACAGAAAGTAAGAAATGAAAACCCCTATCACATATTTAATTACTCATCTGCAAATTTAAAACCCTCAAAAACAAAGTCCTCTTCTAAACCTGGTGGTGGGAAGTGTGCTCGAATACAACTAACTGCACAAGATGGCAAGGGGACCCTTATCTCTTTGCCTAATATATCCTCAGGCCCTTCATGTGCCTTTATGCCATAATGTTGTCTATAATCGCTCTAAGCAACCTGTATTATCCCATACCTGTGTTAAAAGCGGCTTTCTGATTGGTTTAGAGCAGGTGAGCTTGTCGTCGAGCTCACCTGCTTTTTGCCGAACTCACCTGCTTTTCGCCCGAACTCACCCGCTAAACTGCTTTCGTTGCAACTTGCAATAACAATAACAAATATGGCGGAAAAGATTTAGCCGATAAACCTAAACTTTAAATAACTTTTTTCGGTGACTAACATACTGAGACTGAAGAAAAACCAAAGAAAAAATGCAGTAAAGGTAATGTAGACGTAGATAAAGAAGTATTTTCTTGCCCAGTGATTTTTTGGCCGGGAAAATGTTCACAAAACATCGACGAATATATCGGGAAGAGCTACAAATGTGTGTATGGCTCGGTGTATGGGATAAAAACCAAACGTACTTGCAGGTTCGGTGAGTCCGGGATTGGACGCACCTCGGGTGGCTGGAAGTTTCCCGAACACACCTCGCTTCGCTCGGTAAGTTCGGGAAACTTCCAGCCACCCTCGGTGCGTCCAATCCCGGACTCACCTCCCTGCAAGTACGTTTGTTATAAGACCCAATAATTTAGACATAAATATTGAAATGCAGGGTTATCAGTAATACAATCTGGGACAGGTATCTCCTCAATTTGTGCTGCTTCTTGGTTTATAGAAACACAAGCTGGGATCTCTTGGCAGCAAATACTTTCTTCTTCCCTATCCATTATTTGGCAGTGAGTACAAAGGCACCTACATGCATAAAGCCAAGTTCCAATTTAATCATAAGTTAATTTGGGTTAAACCAAGTTAATTTTGGCTAAAGCATAGCAGTTGAATTTACGATTTTTAGCCATAGTTTGTTCAACTTCAACCACGAAATTCAATGTAAATATTACATAATAAAGTTTTTAATACATTTTTACCTTTATTTGAAGTACAAACATAATAATAATGTATAATAATGCCGCCCATAATAATGTATAGTTGTGGATGCTGCTGAAGAAACTTAACCTACATATCTACAACATAAATAATAGAAGCAAATTTAGTAGATAATTACCAGTTCGTGTCCTGAAGTCTGGTGGTTTTGTCAGAACTTGACGAAGATTCCGAAGCCATTTGGTTCAAACGCGTAAGGTTGAATTATGTTTATTAATACGTCTCTTTCGATGTTCATATCTTCGCTATAACTCGATCCACTGCTTCCAGAACCATCGCTCGAAGATTCGTTTGAGTAATCAATATCCATTTCTCTTCATACAGTATTTTTCTTAAAGTGCCTATGCAACGAAGTTTTTACCTCGTTTTTTATTGTTTTTCTAAAAAGTACTGCTGGGCTGATGAAAAATGACGTTTAAAGTTTCGTCATATCTCATCTCATTCTCAAGTTAAAGAACTTTCTATATTTTGAGTTGTGACGTCACAAGTATGAGTTGAGATAATGGCAATAACAAGAAAGTATGATATCTTGGTGACTATTTAATAAAATTCAATGAAACTTGGTACCCTTAGCTTAGTGGGTGCAACAAAGGCAACAATTTGACTACTTTTTATGGTTGTTATGGCAACACACACGTCCCCAGTCCCTTCTCTTCCAATTTCTATATGATCCATTTCCAACGAAATAAATAGCAATTTCTGCAATTTTCGCTTATTACTATAATAAGTGTAGGTATTGTGATCAGTTTAAACAGCTATAATATGTAAACATCCTCTGCAAGAGGTCTACAGGAGAAAAGTTGTGAAAAGGAAGATAAGAGATTGGGGACTAGTGTGTTGCCATGGCAACCGCATAACCTGCCAAAAATATTCATATGGGTGCACCCACTAAGTGTACCAAGTTTCATTGAATTTTATTAAATAGTCACCAAGATATCATACTTTCTTGTTATTGCCATTATCTCAACTCATACTTGTGACGTCACAACTCAAAATGTAGAAAGTGCGATAACTTGAGAAAGAGATGAGATATGACGAAACTGTAAACGTCATTCTTCATCACTCCAGCAGTACTTTTTAGAAAAACAATAAAAATGAGGTAAAATTTTCGTTGCATAGGCACTTTAAATTTATAATTTTGTCTTTGTTTACATCTGCCTGTAAAAGCCAACCGCGCAATGACGTCACAAGGTAAAACCGCTGCGTGATCGCAGCTTCGCTGTGATGTACAAAATGGCAGCTTCGTTATATGTAAATTTTAGCACATTTCTCGACTTGGTTATAAATTGGAGGCGGGACTTTGCGTGAGAGGTAAGCGTTATATGATCTTTCATATCAGCCTAAGTTGTTCTGAACTCTGACTTCCCCTTTAATAACTAACTTGGCAAATATTTTGTTCAGAAAATCTCTAGTATCCATTTTGAAATAAATAACGAGATTTCTTCAAATAATTATGGTCACATAGATCCTCAAAGTGATGACAATGAGGAGTATCCAGGTGATATATCGCATTTTGATGCGTTTGAACTCTTATCTGAGGATGATGTCAGAAAACTTGTTGTGGATTCACACAAAAAATCCTGTTACCTTGATCCAGTGCCAACAGATTTCCTGGTGAAATGTCTGGATGTGTTACTTCATGCGGTTACAAAAATAATCAATATTTCACTTGAAACTGGGTACTTTCCTAGAGACTGGAAGGAAGCTATCATTCTTCCTATATTAAGAAAGTCTGGGTTGGAGTCCGCTTTTGGAAATATTCGTCCCATCAGTACTTTAGCATATATTTCATAGCTTATCGAACGAGCAGTATATAATCAAACACACGGTCATATTCTTCGATGTGGCTTTTATCCAGTTTTGCAATCTGCTTACCGGCGGTATAACTCCACAGAGACTGCGTTACTCAAAGTACTCAATGATATTTTGTTAATTAAGCATGAACAGTCAACGTGTCACTCTCTTGTTTTTCTGGACCTAAGTTCCGCTTTTGACATAATTGATCATGGAATTTTGCTGGAACAGTTAAGGTCGAAATTTGGAATACGTGGAAAAGTTCTCAGTTGGTTTTCTTCCTATTTGTCTGGTCGAAGTCAACGTGTTAAGCTAAATGGTACCCTTTCTGATCCATCTGCCGCAGGGTTCGTGTTTGGGGCCTCTTCTTTTTATATTATATACCTCCAAACTGTTCGATATTATTAACAATCGCTCGCCAGATTTACATGGTTTTGCTGATGACACTCAGTTTTATGTGTCATGATCAAACCTGACTACCCATGCGATCAATGTGAAGCGATCTCGGTGATGGAAAGCTGTGTCGACGATCTTCGGAAATGGATGATTCAAGATAAATTGAAACTAAATGGCGGTAAAACTGAACTGCTAATAATTGAATCTAAGCAGCAACTGCAGAAACTTAACCCATGCCATGTACGTGTCGGGAATGCCGATGTCCTTCCTGTACCAATAGCTTGTGATCTAGGAGTTTGGCTCAATTCAAATTTATCAATGCCATGGCATATAACAAAGACCTGTGGTGCCGCATTCTATTGGCTTCACAACATCAAACGCATCAGCAAGTTATTATCTCGGGAAAAGCTGTTGATTGTTATACATGCCTTTGTTACAAGTCGACTAGATTGTTGTAATGGTCTCCTGTATGGTTTACCTAATACTGAATTGATTAAGCTGCAGAGGGTTCAGAACGCCGCTGCAAGATTAGTGACTTCAACACGAAAATACGATTACATTACACCTATATTACGTGAACTACGCTGGTTACCTGTGAAGTTCAGGATCTCTGTATGGTTTACCAATGGTCTCCTGTATGGTTTACCTAATACTGAATTGATTAAATTGCAGAGGGTTCAGAACGCCGCTGCCAGATTGGTGACTTCAACACGAAAATACGATCACATTACGCCTATCTTACGTGAACTACGCTGGTTACCTGTGAAGTTCAGGATCCATTTTAAACTGCTGTTGCTAACTTTTAATTAAAGCTTTACATGGAATGGTTCCAAAGTACATGGTAGACCTACTTGTTGTCAAAGTGGAAGGAAACTACCTTTTACGCTCTAATGATATTCATAGCATAATGCTAGAGTTCCCTAAGGGTAACTTTTTACGGTCATTTGGCGACCGATCTTTCACTGTGACAGCTTCGAAACTTTGGAATGAACTTCCCAAAGAAATTCGTGACATTTCATCAATAAGTGTTTTCAAAACTTGTCTTAAGACTCATCTTTTGAAACTAACTTTTAACATTTAGTTTATATTAAAGTTAACATTTCAACATTTTACTGCACTTTTAAGTGATGCTTACCATACTAAACATTAGTTATATTGCAATACAGCGCTTTTGATCATTATATGTAAAAAGCGCTTTATTAATGATAAATTATTGGAAATTACTATAAAGCCGGGCGCCCCATTTAAGCGGGCAAGCCCAGCAAACCCAGCTCATATAAACATCCCCTTAATTAGTTTCAGCCCTTTTACTATTAATTTTTTCCTAAAAAAATCAGGCTTTCGTATGCTTAATTAATGCATTTACCTAATATAATTTGCATATTACTGACATGCAAATTAGACAAAGGCATTAAGGTGGCTCCCTATAATTTTTGAAATAAGACAAAATCGTGATTTAGATTTAATTTTTTGAAGAGAGGTTTCTTGTTAGAAGACAAAAATTGCGCCACATATATTCAGCAATCATCTAAGAGTTGAAAATTGTTCACACGACGTCATTATGGTAACAATGACGTCTCAATATGGCCGATATTTTACCTTTTGACACATTTTACTAGAAAAAAGGGCGTTACCCCCATTTTTATTTAATCAAACGCTTTCATGTAGAAAAATCAATGATGTGAACAAGTTTAAAAATATTCTGTAGATCCCGCATATTTATCACGAAAAATCACGTTTTTTTAATTTTTAAAAATTTTGATCTACAGAATTTTTTTAAACTTGTTCACATCATTCATTTTTCTACATGAAAACGTTTCATGAAATAAAAAATGTGGGTAACGGCCTTTTTTTCGAGTAAAATGTGTTAAAAGGTAAAATTTCGGCCATATTGAAACGTCATTATTACCATAGCAACGGAAATGACGTCATTTTTGTGAACAATTTTCAACTCTTAGAACTGTTAGAAGATTGCTCAGTGGTACAATTTTTGTTTTCTAACAAGAAACCTCTCTTCTAAAAATTAAATCTAAATCACGATTTTGTCATATTTCAAAAAATTTCTGTTCAAAATATAGACCACAGTGAGACTTTTTTAAATGTGTTTATTACATTAACAAACGACGTTTCGGAGATTTACTCCATCTTCAGGTAGTTAAGATTACAATTTGAATTTAAACTAACGTGCGCATGCATAAACGTTAAAGCTTGCGACCGTTATTCGCGCGTGCGAAATTGCGTAAGCGTATAAATGACCTGTCCGATTAATTATAATAAAAATTAGAAATTGTTAATTCGGTCTTTAATTTTTATTAGAAGTAATCGGACACGTCATTTATACGCCTACGCAATTTCGCACGCGCGAACAACGGTCGCAAGCTTTAATAAATAATAAATTTACATTTATATAGCGCTATTCCTAAAAAGTTCAAAAGCGCTTTACAAGAGTAGAATGGTAAACATAATGATAATAATGTATAGTTTATGTTACAAGTTCAAAAATTATGCATAAAGTTACCAACTTAAATTACATTAGATATTAGATATACGGCAGTATTAGAATTATATTAAAATTATAGTACTAAAAAACTATCACAGTTTTAATACCACAGTATTAAATAAGTCAAAACTAAGAGAAGGCTTCAATAAAAAGCCACGTTTTAAGACCTTTTTTGAAACTGTTAGTAGAGTCTTTCTGCTTCAGCTCTACTGGCATTGAGTTCCATAGCTCAGGTGCTGAAACAGAGAAGGCACGAGCTCCAAATGTTTTAAGGTTAAACTTTGGTTGGTGAAGAAGGTTCTGGTTAGCAGAACGGAGATTTCTTGCAGGAACGTAAGGTTTTATCATGTTTCGCTCGCTGCTCTCGTTTAAATAAATGATTACAAAGCCCAGTCGAATTGTAAGTCAACAATATATGATGGTGCTAATCCATGATATATGGAGTGCCTTAAAAGTGATGACCAAGATCTTAAATTTAACTCTTTGTTCAATAGGCAGCCAATGCAAACTTTTGAACAAAGGTGTTACATGCTCATACTTTTTACATTGATAAATGATTCTAGCCGCACAATTTTGAACATACTGAAGTCTTCCGATAGCATAACGTTTATGCATGCGCACGTTAGTTTAAATTCTAATTGTAATCTTAACTACTTGAAGCATAGGTCTCCCGAAAAGGTCTTTTATTTTTTATATAAAATCCATGCAATTTGCTTTAAAATGCAATGATTTGACATGCAATGCTTCAATGTACAGTAAAACCTCTATAATTTGTATTACATGAAGTGCGTGTAACATCACAATAGCGTTGCGTCATTATGTAGTATATATGATATATCCCCAAGGTTGGCAACTAATTAAATACAAATTTAAAACTGTATACAACAACTTAATGACGAAAAAACTCGTACATAAACATCGAAATTCATTTAAAAAAAACTAACTCACTATGGTAAGAAATAACTGTAATACTTCTATATTGTGTTTTTTTGTTCTCTCATCACTTTAAAACGAGTTAATTTTGCTAAAAGTCCGAGGAAAATTCATCAAATTCGTAACTCAATTTGATCAAAACTATGCGGGATGATGGCTCCCGGCGTTACGTCACAGAATAAAACTCTCTGATTCGCTGGGAAATTTCAGCCAGCCAATCGGAGAGTTTTTTTGAAATTTTAAATATTTTCAGCAAATCAGAGAGCTTTATTTTGTGACGTAACGCCGGGAGCAGTCATCTCGCATAGTTTTTACCAAATTGAGCCATTTTCCTCGGAATTTTCGCAAAATTAACTCGTTTTAAAGTGATGAGAGAACAAAAAACACAATGTAGAAGTATTACAGTTATTTCTTACCATAGTTTTTTTTAATGAATTTCGATGTTTATGTACGAGTTTTGTCGTCATTAAGTTGTTGTATACAGTATTAAATTTGTATTCAGTAGTTGCCAGCCTTGGGGATATATACACGCGTAAAAATTATCATGTTGTCGCAGGTTGTCAACAACTTGTTCACGATTGTTCAGAACAGGTTGCAGCAATGTTGTGCTGCACCCTGTCAACAAGGCTTGTTAACAATATTGCTCACGCTTGTTCGAACAATGTTGTTAACGCCTGATGAATGAACAAGGCCTGAACAACGTTGTTGGAACAACGCAAATCAACCTGATATCAATGATGTTTTATATTGTCAACAACTGCGAACAGTCTTGTTTTATCAATACGTAAACAGCCTGATATCAATCGTTTTCGACGCTGTTATTCGTGGCCATTTTCCAGGGGGGGGGGGAGAAGAGAAATTTAAAGACACAGTTCAGCCTTTTGAATGATGGTTTTTAAGGCGCATTACCAAGCCCTTTTAACTGAAAAAAACCAACTAGGAAAATCAATTAAGCATAATTCAAGATCAGTGATTTCAATGTTTTTAACATTTTTAAACATTTCTAATGTTAAAAACATTGAGTTCACTGAATTTGAATTATGCTTAATTGATTTTCCTAGTTAGTTTTTTCAATTCCATAAAAGGCTTGTAATGCGCCATAAAAACCATCACTCAGCAGGCTGAACTGTGCCTTTAAATAAGCACACAAATAGACAACTTCACTTCTTGATATGAAATTCAGTTTATTTTGAAATAAGAAAATACAGATTAGTGAACAAATACATAACTACAGTAAAAGTACAAAGGTAAGATAACTATAAACTATATATGCAATTAAGGTTTATAAAATTACTATTTATATTAATCTAAATAGTGTTATAAAGTGTTTTGACTTTTGAGTTCATAATACTGGTAAACCATGGCAGTATTTTAGCAAAAGGTAGTGCAACACTGCAACCTCTATAATTATTATATCGGTATTGTCAGGATGGAATTTGAATCTGTTGGAGCAAGTCTATCACACAGATTTTATGAACCATGCATGCAATTTGTACATATATAATCATATATTTGCCCATTATAAAACTGACAGTTAATAATTAATCTTTCACAGACCAATAAAATCATCTGGGGCCGGTAGTTCAAAGGCTTACACGGGCTTCGAACAACCGGCCCCAGATGATTTTATTAGTAGGTGAAAGAGTAATTATTATAGTATATATTAACTGTCAGTTTATAAATATAATGGGCAAATTAGATATATAGTATATACTAAAAGTAGACTCATTGCCAGTTGATGGGTTAGGTTAACATAATTAATATATAAACTATAGATGGTTTTGTTGCATCTCACTCAATGGAAATTTTAATGTTGGGTTTTGTTGATGGATAAATCGAGTACTTAATAATTTGAATTAAAATATGGACCTAACCAGGCCCTTATTGCCTGAATGGCATCTTATTCAAATCATCATTTAACTTGAAATAAAGGGATCTCCCTCAATTGATTTAGCCTGCAGAGGCCCAACTCCATTCCTCGATCACTTAACCTGAAATTCAGGCCCTACTTTCAATTTTCTGTCTGCATCCTTTTGAAAGTTCAATATTTTTAACCTTACATTAATGATAATGATTATTCAATTAAAGTCAACAATTTCTTTTTCATCCTGAGAACATCCAGTTTCAGTCCTCCTGAACTTGTTTGACACTCCTTGGCAGTGATATTTCTGTAGATCTGAGTGCCATTATTTTATTCCAGATATGAACTCACAGGCCCTAATCCGCCCTATAAATTAAGATTAAATACATAATGCCATTAATTTACAAAATGGACCTTTGCAATGTTTTAATATTGTGGGATGCAGCCCCAATATTGTATGTTTCCCACCATATTTTACATGGGTCATGCCATATAACTTCAGTACATGGTCATTTTTGGATCCATGCCTGGGACATATCATAATCTTGAATCTAATTTGGGTATTCAATCATGTTTAATAGACATAGGCAGTCCACATATGGACTGGTCATGCTATGTCTATAAGTGCATGGCTGTTGCCAAAATAGCCTCAATATACACAGACCACAACAAAGGTATAAAAATTACTTACCAAGTGAGCACCCATTGTATATAATTTGTCTGACATATTCATAGATCTTTATTTTTATACTTTACACTACAAAAAGGATAAAAATGAGACAATAATTACATTTGAGCATAATTATGATCATGATTACCCCCCATAGCCATGTGAGAAATCATAGCTACCTCCTTCATACCTTCCATGACATTCATAGTCACCTGTTTAATTAACACAGGAAATAAAAGGAAATATGACTGGCTGGTAGTAACTAACAATTAGCCTTTCCGTTCCATATTCCGGCGGCAAAATAGCTAGATCACAGTGAATTCTGGAATCGTTTGGAGGGACAAAGAATATGATGACAGGCGTCAAATATTGAACAAGTACAAGTATCTACCATCAAATATAAACTTTATCCATGACCGAAAATTGAAATATCTCCTTTTTACATTAAATATTTAATTCATGTGTGCTGCCATATTTCTTGTCCCGCCAAACAAGGGATTTGTGCGACTAGACCCAGGACTTTGGGAAATGGCTAATTATTTAACTGTATAGTCTGTATGCACTCTTTGCACCCCTATTATCTTACCTACTTACCTATAATTTATCCATCACATATTATATGCAGTTAAAATACATCATTCTGGGTGTGTAAACTGATCAAGTATTTGGTTGACCTTGTTAAAACACAATAGGAATTGTCTATATATAGCAGTGATCAAAATTACAAACAACAATAGGGACGGAAGGAGCGGAGGACATATGATATGATAGCTTTTTTGACATATTCAAATTTCAAAGTTAAAAAGACTCTGACAGAAATTTAAAGTGTATTTGGAAAAATTTGAACAATATTTTGAGAACTAAATGTTTTGTTTATATTACGGCTTTTTATTACAGTATGACCGTGGTTTCTTGTTGCATGTATACTGAAAATATCGAGAAAAATATGAAAATCCAATGTCAATATAAAAGTACTTTTAAGTTTGTCCGTGTGCTATGAAAATGACTAAAATCAAAGGGTCGCGTTGTTTTAAGCTTTTACAACTAACCTTACCTCAAAACAAGACACTTACCAAATTATTTTCTTCAGTATTTTCCCTTCAATCTTCAGAAAAAACCACAAAGTTTAAACGATATTTATTTTGCTGTAAAAGCCCAGCCGTTTGATTTCTTGCTCTTGTGATATTCGTCGCATTCGTCCGTTTTGCATCCCAGCACTTCGCAACAACCAATAAAAACAAGTTTTCGTGTTTTTCAAATAATTATTTTACCGTCTATTTATAACAATGCTGTTCACGGTTGTTCGAACAACTAAAAACAACTTGTTCTTTCATCAATGTTGTTCAGGCCTGTTCAAACAATATTGTTGACGCCTGATGAACCAACAACGCTGAACAACATTGTTCTGACAACATTTATCAAGCATGTTTCATCAACCTTGTTGACGCTTGTTCCATCATGTTGCAACAACCATTGTTCGTTCATCAAGCGTGAACAAGTTGTTGGAACAATGTTGTTAACGATTGTCGCTTGAACAACGTTGTTCAGCCATGATAACAACATTGTTCAGGCATTGTTCAGCGAACAACGCCGAACAACCTGATCAATTTTTACGCGTGTACTACACGGGTAAAAATTGATCAGGTTGTTCGGCGTTGTTCAAACAGGAGTGAACAATGTTGTGCTGCACCCCGTGAACAATATTGTTAACAAGTTGTTCAACCATCAGTACTGTTGCAAGTTGTTAACATGATTGTCAACAAGTTGCAACAATGTTGATGGTTCAACAACTTGTTAACAATATTGTTCACGGGGTGCAGCACAACATTGTTCGCTCCTGTTTTGAACAACTTGCATCAACATGATGATTTTTACGCGTGTACATACACGCGTAAAAACGCTCAGGTTGATGCAAGTTGTCAACAAGTTGCTGCAACTTGGTTCTGAACAGGATGCTGCAATATTGTGCGGCCCACTTGCAGCAATATTGTCAACAATATTGTTCACGCTTGTTCGAACAATGTTGTTGACGCCTGATGAACGAACAAGGCCTGAACAACGTTGTTGGAACAACTGAGATCAACCTGATATCAATGATGTTTTATATTGTCAACAACTGCGAACAGTCTTGTTTTATCAATACGTAAACAGCCTGATATCAATCGTTTTCGACGCTGTTATTCGTGGCCATTTACCAGGGGGGGGGGATTTAAAGGCACAGTTCAGCCTTTTGAATGATGGTTTTTAAGGCGCATTACAAGCCTTTTAATTCCAAAAACTAATTAGGAAAATCAATTAAGCACAATTCAAGATCAGTGATTTCAATGTTTTTAACATTTTTAAACATTTCTAATGTTTTTTAACATTGAGTTCACTGATTTTGAATTATGCTTAATTGATTTTCCTAGTTAGTTTTTTCAATTAAAAGTCTTGTAATGCGCCATAAAAACCATCACTCAGAAGGCTGAACTGTGCCTTTAAATAAGCACACAAACAGACAAACTTCGCTTCTTGATATGAAATTCAGTTTATTTTGAAATAAGAAAATACAGATTAGTGAACAAATACAAACTAAAGAGATAATTACAGTAAAAGTACAAAGGTAAGATAACTATAAACTATTTTATATGCAATTAAGGTTTATAAAATACTAAGTACTATTTATAAATCTAAATACTTCATAGTGTTAAGTGTTTTGACTTTTGAGTTCATATTAAATACTGGTAAACAATGGCAGTATTTTAGCAAAAGGTAGTGCAACACTGCAACCTCTATAACTATTATTTAGGTATTGTCAGGGTGGAATTTGAATCTGCTGGAGCAAGTCTATCATAGAGATTTTATGAACCATGCATGCAATTTGTACATAATCATATATTTGCCCATTATATTTATAAACTGACAGTTAATAATTAATCTTTCACAGACTAATAAAATCATCTGGGGCCGGTAGTTCAAAGGCTTACACAGGCTTCGAACAACCGGGCCCAGATGATTTTATTAGTATGTGAAAGAGTAATAGTATTAAAGGAGATTGGCAACAAAAATTGCTTCATCTATCTTATTGCTTCATCTGAAAGAGCATGAAAAAATAAGCCGATTGGCCGTTTAATGCTCTATTCTATCTCATCTAGTTCCGAAGTTATACGCAAAAATGTGAAAATATAAATTGCTGATTCAGCACAACGTGTGACGTCATTAGCTGGGTAAGTATGTTTATTGAATACTACACTGAAGCATAGCTCAGTTATTATGGGCCCAAATCAAATCAAATTTTGCATACTGATTGTACATGATGAGACGCATGGAAAAACACTTCTAATTTTGTTGCCAAGGTAACAATGTCGTTTCCAGGCCCCTTGCGCCAATTTTATGAAACAGCTTTATTCAAGGTACTGATAAGAATAAAATAATATCAGAAGTATGTGTATGATACCTATGCATGCCAAAAGTTTACTTGCATGATAATAATTCGAAAATGACATACACATAGATAAATGCAACTAGTTATTCAAAATCAGTGTAAGAGGCCTGGGAACGACTGTGTTGCCTTGACAACGAAATTAGAAGTATTTTTCCCATGCATCTCATCATGTACTATCTGTATGCAAAATTTCATTTGATTTGAACTAATAATAACTCAGCTATGCTTTAGTTTACTATTCAATAAACATACTTACCCAGCTTATGACGTCACAGAATGTGCTGAATCAGCAATTTATATTTTGCACATTTTTGCGTATAACTTCGGAACCAGATGAGATAGAATAGAGCAGTAAACGGCCAATCGGCTTATTTTTTCATGCTCCTTCAGATGAAGCAATAAAATCAATAAAATTTTTTGTTGCCAATACCCTTTAACTGTCAGTTTATAAATATAATGGGCAAATTAGAGATGGAGTATATAAAATTATTACTAAAGTAGGCTCATTGCCAATTGATGGATTAGGTTAACATAATTAATAAACTATAGATGGTTTTGTTGCATCTCACTCGATGGAAATTTTAATGTTGGGTTTTGTTGATGGATAAATCGAGTACTTAATAATTTGAATTAAAATATGGACCTAACCAGGCCCTTATTGCCTGAATGGCATCTTATTCAAATAATCATTTAACTTGAAATAAAGGGATCTCGATCCCTCAATTGATTTAGCCTGCAGAGGGCCAACCCCATTCCTGGATCACTTAACCTGAAATTTCTGTCTGCATCCTTTTGAATGTTCAATATTTTTAACCTTACATTAATGATAATAATTATTCAATTAAAGTCAACAATTTCTTTTTCATCCTGAGAACATCAAGTTAATTCAGTCCTCCTGAATTTGTTTGACACTCCTAAGTAGCAGTGATATTTCTGTAGATTTGCCATTATTTTATTCCAGATATAAACTCACAGGCCCTATAAATTAAGATTAAATACATAGTGCCATTAATTTACAAAATGGACCTTAATTTGCAATGTTTATGCATGCACTAGTCAATTGAAACCCCCAACCCCAGGGACAGGGCGGGGAATTAATGGGGGAATGGTTGTGGATTAACACGGTCTTAATGCAGATTTCCCCCGGGGTACAGGGTAAATAACAAGTCAATTTATTAGCCAGGACAATTCCCAAGTCATGAAAATTTCCTAAGTCATTAAAATTTGCAAAGTGCTGGGGCCGTAGGGACAGTAGTTTTAACAGTCAATATTCTCCCGGTAGCAGGGAAATGTCCAAAATTTAACATTGTCAAAATGTTAATTTCCCCTCCCTATCCCGGGGGTCGGGGTTTCAATTGACTAGTGCATTATGGTGGGATGCAGCCCCAATTGTATGTTTCCCACCATATTTTACATGGCTCATGCCATATAACTTCAGTACATGCATGGTCATTTTTGGATCCATGCCTGGGACATATCATAATCTTG